AATCACGAAGAAACGAGTTGAACGCTGCAATCCGAGGTTTCTAATCACCATTACGACGAAGAGCTGAGGCGGCAGCGGCGCGCCGCGGCGTCGGAATATCCTCTTGACATTCTTTTTTCTCAGATTCAAGCAGATCGTAGCATCTGCGATACGTTTTCATAATCGTTACGAGCAGGCCGAGTCCCGGCGGCTGCCGAGTCGGAAGACAGTGTATTCTTTTCATTTAATTCCCGGAGCTCGCGAGCTGTTTAATGGATCCGCGAGCAACGGTAGTTACGCGGGGGAACGCTGTCCATTAACAAAACTGTCGCGAGATTCGGGGCAACTTCCAGCGTGACACATCGCCGCGATATTTCACCGGCGAATTAATTAATGAATGCAGTATTTTATCGCGGGTTCGCGAGTCTTGACCCACTCGCAACTGGCGTCGTAATTTGTAACCGGAGGGGGCCATCACGATAGATATCAAACCTAACAAGTTACGCAACCGGTGCCACGAAATTACCGCCAGCCCGCGTTCAAGTGAGAGGTCATTTGGATCGGGACCGTGAGGATTAACAACCGAATGATTGCGGCTCCGCCGCGCCGCTCCCGTTTTTCCTTTTAATTCGGGGTTTCGCGTGATCGACACGTTTCACCGCCGCGGTCTACGGCGACCAATGCTGTTTAATCACGTGAGAAAACATTCTATCCGACTACAATGAAATTACATACTCGAACAAATAGAATGATTTCGATAGGTCCCCGTAGAACTGCCTTTACAGTTGCACCGATCACCGAGGGAAAGGCTTGATATCAATTATTTACAATTCTCCGGCTAGTCTAAGCGATGAAAATGTTACTGCTTTTCCAGATACCTGGAAAAATAATGCCACTCTTCAACATAGCTTTCCAATTGTTTATGTAATTGTCGTTAGACAGAGGATTTTTATGCAAAGTAAACATTAAAATACACGTATTGTTTTTTTTTAGTAATGACAAGACTGAAATTATTTAGATCTTTTGCTATTACTTATAATTTTTACAATTTTACAATTAATTCCTATGGAAAGGTCTCTATAATTTCTACAATTTCAAAATAAAATATATGGATCTTCAACAGTTTCGATCATTTCAACAATTTTAAACTATAATATATAAAATTGGTCATTTTGACCGCCATGATTGGTTTAGTGTTAATTGTAAGATATAGATGCTATCTAGACGATCCTTACTTTCTGTAACCCCTTGTCGTACCATAATCAGTCTGATTCGTGATGGAGATTTCTAGTAATAAATTATTGAGAAGATATTTTCCTCAACATGATGACGTATTTCGATGTAATTATTTGGTTGTCAACAATTTTGATAAGATCAGATTAATGGATGACAATTTTCTGTCAATCTTTTTACCTTGACATAACCTTGACAATTTTCTGTCAATCTTTTTACCGTCTTAAATTACCCATTTATATTTAATTTACCCATTTTTGCCATAAATGCATAAAATCTGCTGTCCGATAATTGTGCATTTCATGCAATTTAGTGAAGAAGCAAATGAAAGATTCACTTCTTAATCAACAACCTCAGCAATAAATTTGTTAAGTATGAATGTTATTTCATTCCTTTAAGTCGGAACAAAATTCTGTTTTCTTGTTATCAACGTTTAAGCATTGAATCGGAAAAGTGCTAATCAATGTACCTGCAAGAAAAACCGTATGATAAAGGGTTAGTTATTATACACGGTTCAAAATTTATTTTAAATTCTTTAAATGTGTTTTTGACCGTTTTGTGTTTGATTGTTTCTGTCACAAATTGCATAAAATTCGCAGTCTACTTAATGGAATTAATTGATAAATTGAGGTTGTTTCTTTCACTCCATCGTTCCAACTGATAGGATAACTAGCATTTTTCTGGAATGCTTTCCACCATGTTTTACCGATATATGTTCTCTATGGGTTCCCAAAGGAATTCAATAATTGGACGAATGCATGGATCCAAAAAGCGAATATATGTTTTACCGAATAAATCCCAGTAAATTACGTGATGTTTGCTTGACACCGTGTTCTGGATTACAGCCAAACGAGATGCGATTTTACAATGAAATGAGACTAAATAAATTTGATATGGACAATGGATTTGAACTGGACGGACGTGCATTTAATTCTGCATACCTTAAAACGGAAACAACTTTTAAAATTGTATTGGAGTCTTTTTAAATTATAGGATTAATTTATGAGTGATTAGTTATACACAATTACGATTAATAATTGTTAGGGTTGTGTTTTAAAATGTTGTCTCTCCCAGTATCAAATTTTATACGAGCGAGCAGAGCATCAATTTTCTTTTCATTTCTGGAAGATATAACAGTTACAAAAAAATAATAACAACAGTTTAATACAATGTTTGGTTTCTGCGTAAGAAAATGGGAACGAATTTTATTCTACGATATAATATTATAAGCAAGTAAATTTGTTAATTAATGCGAAATCTTAAATGAGAATACAGATAAATTCGTAGGAACGATATCGTAATTATATTGAGAGGCAGTGAGAAAATGAAGTACGGAAACTATAAAACATGATTGACTCGAAATCAAACTTCATTGTCCGCGTATTCAATGAAATGTTATTGGATCGTACATAGGGCTTGACGAACCTCTATCGGTAAATAGATTTCCGTATACTAGTATGTACTTAAATGCATACAAATGTGACACTTGATCTAGAAACCTACTCGTAACCAAAGGCAATAAACTCGACGGCCAATCGGAAATACTGCTGCGTTCACCTGCTCAATAGATGAGTTACAGTGTATAACCATGTTCGACATGTTAATTGCGACGGGGATCACAGTTTGAATCGACGATGGTAATAATACAAAATTTTAGATATTGACATTTGTTTGAAATTATATATATTTCTATCAATTTGGGCGAGCCGGTCACCGGTGGCCCCCATAGCGTCACCGCCAAGTTAAGTGCCGGTCACCGGTGACCCCTGAGGCATTTAACGTGTTAATTGATTCATACTGATCTTTATTTTCTGAATATTAGCGAAATATTGAAAAGACGCTATCGACTGAACCAATATGTGTTATATTTTATATTATTATATAAAACCAAACGTTTTGCAATTGGAAATAAAATTTTTCATTTACACTACTTTATTAACTAACACTTTTTCCAATACTTTTACATACTTTATTAACCATATTTCTTTAATAATCCATTAATTCATCTAGATAACATANTAGGGTTGTGTTTTAAAATGTTGTCTCTCCCAGTATCAAATTTTATACGAGCGAGCAGAGCATCAATTTTCTTTTCATTTCTGGAAGATATAACAGTTACAAAAAAATAATAACAACAGTTTAATACAATGTTTGGTTTCTGCGTAAGAAAATGGGAACGAATTTTATTCTACGATATAATATTATAAGCAAGTAAATTTGTTAATTAATGCGAAATCTTAAATGAGAATACAGATAAATTCGTAGGAACGATATCGTAATTATATTGAGAGGCAGTGAGAAAATGAAGTACGGAAACTATAAAACATGATTGACTCGAAATCAAACTTCATTGTCCGCGTATTCAATGAAATGTTATTGGATCGTACATAGGGCTTGACGAACCTCTATCGGTAAATAGATTTCCGTATACTAGTATGTACTTAAATGCATACAAATGTGACACTTGATCTAGAAACCTACTCGTAACCAAAGGCAATAAACTCGACGGCCAATCGGAAATACTGCTGCGTTCACCTGCTCAATAGATGAGTTACAGTGTATAACCATGTTCGACATGTTAATTGCGACGGGGATCACAGTTTGAATCGACGATGGTAATAATACAAAATTTTAGATATTGACATTTGTTTGAAATTATATATATTTCTATCAATTTGGGCGAGCCGGTCACCGGTGGCCCCCATAGCGTCACCGCCAAGTTAAGTGCCGGTCACCGGTGACCCCTGAGGCATTTAACGTGTTAATTGATTCATACTGATCTTTATTTTCTGAATATTAGCGAAATATTGAAAAGACGCTATCGACTGAACCAATATGTGTTATATTTTATATTATTATATAAAACCAAACGTTTTGCAATTGGAAATAAAATTTTTCATTTACACTACTTTATTAACTAACACTTTTTCCAATACTTTTACATACTTTATTAACCATATTTCTTTAATAATCCATTAATTCATCTAGATAACATAGATGGTTAAAAAATATCTTCAAGCTAATGTAGTTCTTGTATTTGGTTAGATTATTCTATAAAAATTCTATTCAAGCATTGATTCTAATCCATCAATTTATAATAGCAGTTATACTTTCTTTTCGCCTTCCAATGTTAATTCAATGAATAGTTCTTCACCTGGTTGTTAACGGGATAATCGTAGCGCTATAATCAGCCTCGAATTTCTAGGTCGATAAGGTAGCAAACTTCTTTCATTTTCATCCCTCTGAATCAACTAATTAACTCTTAGACAATCAATTTTCTGTTTCTCGCTTCTCTGAAATTTATTTCTTCCATTCCGTTAATTTGCTTTTGGCAAACGGTCACAAATGTATTTACGTTTGTATTTGTACGTCTTTTAAAAGTAACCTCAGATAATTCGATTTGCCAACAAAAGTATAGATACATCATTTCTTATTCTAAACTACAAAATTGCGTTTACTAAGATTTCAATGTATTTTTACTACAGTATGCTGTTCAAATAAACCAACACAGTTTTTAGATTTAAATAATGCCAGAACAATTTAAAAAAAAAATAATCTCCCTAGTATTATTTTTTGCAAATAATCTTTTAAGATAATCTCTGAAGAATTATTTTTTAAATATAATCTCCCAAGAATTCTTTCGTTTTAAAGAACCTCCGAAGAATATTACTTTTTAAGAATGATGATGTTGCTGCGAATGGAAAACTCGTTTTCGAACCCCGTCACTTGTTTTTCGATATGACACTGTCAAACAGGTGTTTCAGGTTATCACGACAAATTAGCCCACCATGAAAAAGAGAAAAGGTGCGCCGAAGACTCAGCCATTAGCAAAAGAGTCGAGAACACTGGACGAGAACTCATGGCGCGCCGAATTGGATGCGATATCCATCAACGACGACAACTGGTGGTGTATCGTAACCATGATGGTAGAAACGACTACCGAGCACTCCAGGTGCGTGTCTCTCTTCAACACCGCTGTCGAGGAAGGCAAACGGAAAGCCATCTACTCGCTGAGCTACCAAAAAATGGTGTGCAGCGTGAAAATGTTGTCGAAACCGAACCTAGACAAATGCCCGACTGTCCAAGGCGTTTGTCACTTCGCCAGCAAGTACTTAATCGACGAGAATGCTACGTTGCCAGCTTGGTTGGTGGCACAAGTGATCAAGTATCTGATCTATCGGATCAAAGAAGAGACCATCGGCATCGTGAAGAGGATGGCTGAGCTGGAACACGAAATCGACGAAGAGTATAGTATCATGCAGACCGTGGCTGATTGGGGTAGAACTGCAAAAAATTCTAAGTTCGAGAATTACTCGGAATTGTCCTTTCCTTCGAAAGGATATTTTGTCTTGTTTTTGTTGTTAGGGGCAGCATGTTAATTTTCATAAATTCGATAGGCGTTTACGTTGATTGCATTACACCCTTTGCATGCCGTATTATATTGTTTCGCCACCCTCTTCTGGAAAGCAGGTGCTTGACGTGACTTGATCTTTTTTAAATGTTACATTGATCGGCACTTAACGCTCCTATAATCGTGGTCGACAAACACTGACATTCGTGAACAATAAAAAATACTAAGAACCACGTGTAATTATGAAGATTTATATTTATTTCTACCATATGCTCGCAATTATTTTATTTTTAATTACAAAATTTTTGATGTTACAAAATGTTACAGAATTTAACTGGTGCGAAGAGACGAATCCGTTGCAAAAATACATTCAGACATGCGTAACGACTTGACGTTGAAGTAGCCTTTGACTCAAAAATATGTAAACTAAACGTGAAATTTACTTTATTTTAATTTAATTTATTTGTACACAGGGTGACTCAGGTTTTTTCGACCAAACAGTATCAGCATATTTTACCAGTGAAAATAAGAAAAAAATGTCGTAAATACAAGCTCAAAAATGCTTTATTAAAAAATTATAAGAAAAATACGTATATAACAATGAACTGATTTTTGTTCGATGTAACTGTGCTAGGTTTACTAAGCCGTTTAATTTTTCATAGATGCCAATGCTGTGTTTTCAAAAACAGGCGACAATTCGAAATGGGGCTCACATGTGTAGATAAATGATCCCGATCAGTCCGCGGTTGTTTATTATTTCTCTTATAATTTTCTAATAAAACATTTCTTAGCTTATATTTATATGACATTTTTTCCTTATTTTCGCTCGTAGAGTATGTTGATACCGTTTGGCCGGAGAAATCTGGGACACGGGTAAACACCCATTATTACAATAACAGAACAAGAACATAATTAAACTGAGAACAAATCAGCGAATCAGCAAATTAGGTAAACAGTTTATGAAAGCTTGTTTCAAATAGCGCGACATTGCCAGCAAATACATCATCTATTTTATCGCTGTTGTTTCTAAATTATAACACAACTGTTTCCAAAGCCCGGTTTTTGCGTGATCGCAGCCCGAAAAATTAAAAGCAGTTGCTCTCGATCTTGGTAATCCGGTTGAGAATTCTGATATCGAAGGTTCGAATAATGACGGCGGCACTGCCGCCGGGGTAAACGTGGAACATTGTTGCAACGCCGAGAAAGCTTGCTGTTCGAAAAGCGCTAATTAGATTGAAAACTAGGTCAACCGGGGTCGAAGTCATTCAACACCGCAAAGCTGAACAACAAAGCGATCACGAGGCTGCGTAAACGAGGGGAGGAATGGCGGGACACGGTGTACGTGGACGACGCGCCCCTCGACGGTCCGAATCTGTACATAATCCTCACGGGATTCCACGATCCGGATCTTCCTGAACATTTAATAAACGCGGCGGTGCCGCTGAGCTTCGTAATGCGGCTGAAGAGATCGAACCGTGATTTGGATCGGTTGGTGGCGTGCGGGACCGTCGACGAGCTGGAGAAAACCCGGAGCACGAACCGTTTCGGGATATATCACAGCAGCATAGTCGATCTGTACCGGTTCTGGTCGACGATCGAGACGCGAACGATGGATCCGGAAACGCATCCGGCGCTGCTCGACGTTGCAATCCTGCTTTTCCGTCCACCGGAGCTGCCCGAGATTTTCCGCGACGACGAATACGAACATCTCAAGAAGGATCTGTACGATCGGGTTTCGTATTTCATGTACGATCTCTATGATCTTCATCGACAACACGGGAATTATTTGAAGAGCACCAGAATCGAGACGGCCATAGCCGACGATGCACCGAGGAAATGCGCCACTGAGACGTATAGGGCGCTGTTAGATGCTGTCCCGCAGGAATGCATTTCCTTACCGTTCATACTGTTTGCCATTCTGGCGCAAATCGATGCGAACGACGGTGGAAACGCGATCGAGAAGGAGATCGAGGGAACAGACGATCCCGATGGTCAGACAGTAAGCTTCATTTGCGGTGTTTGGTATTCCGAGATGGACTCCGACAATTGATTGTCCTAGAATTCTTGTATGCTAGATATATCGTTGCCGATGTAGGATATAGTAAAGCTACATTTATACGACGAATATGGTAGGAGTGCGATAGCTCTATCTTTCTTCGATGTTTATTCGTCTCTATGATCGAAGATAATTTACGTGCACAGTGGTCTTTCTATAATTGTTTCAATTTCGGGTCTGCCGAGTTACAGTTATGGTACAGGTACTACATTCGTGTGGTGTCACGAACGTATACTACTTCTAGAAACACGAATCTTTACGTTCAAGTCAGTTTCGTCTGCTGGAAATTGTTCAGAATGAAAATATTAAGCAAAATTGTCACGAAGACTCTTTTGTAACAATAAGACTGCTAATACTTTTATAAAGGACGTAAGAAAATCTGTCAATAGATGAGAAGGAACATACGATTTTATTACAAATAATAATGTTTAAGCAATTTCTTTTTTCATTGTATAAAAAGTTCTTTGTCAATATTTTTTGCTGCAATTTGTTGTCATATAAGCGACGAGTAACTTTTGTTCAAACAATTTGTGTTTCTATAGATATTTAATTATATTATTTGTATTATTATATTTATACAAATATTAAGATATTTATGTTATTATTTATTTATATTAAACGGTGTTCCGATAAATGGAGTTCTACTTGTATTCTACATTCTACAAATATTAACTAGTTTGGAAACACATCCTTGAACATACTTTTTATACACCCGTTAGCCTTTATGTCGCTTTTCGGAACATCGGCAATGAATAATTTACTGATGAATTTGTTCCAAGCGATCCGCTTTCACGACATTCGCGAACATAAGTTAGATGCGTGTAAATCAGTGTGCAAATTATTGCGATGATATGTCACCCATTCATGTCAGAAAGACTCGAAAGAGAAAGAGAGAGAAAGAGAGAGAGAGAGAGAGAGAGAGAGAGAGAGAGAGAGAGAGAGAGTGTGTGTGCTTCCAAAAACAGTGAAACGAACCGCCGAGATATTCCTTAATGCATATTACGTTCGCCATAATTTATTTCGAAACAGTTTGCTCCGAGCCATACTAAATTACCAATTACGTCACATACGAAATCATTTATAGACAGAATATCTGCTAGTTTTGCAAAATTGTGGTTCAATCAACATTTCGTACTTACCGTTATCGAGGGTGTCCATTTCGTTCGTGTTTGTTCCGACTACGATGATATTGTTTACTAACTTTATCCGCAAGTGATCCAGTTTCTTAAAAATTTTTAATTATTCTTTCGATTTGCATGTTCGATGGACAGTTTCCTCTTCCACATTCTGTACGAAATTTTCTTCCAACTTCTGCGTAACTTTCGCCAAATTTTTCATCGTTTTCAATAATAAACAGGCGTTGTTGAATCGAATTTATTTGAACTGCGGGTTTTACGTATCTATAACGAACACGAGCCGAAACACTAAAAGAAAAGAAGATTCGAAGTGGCTCCGATTTTTCTCATTTCTGTTAAATTCAACCCTGTTACATGTCCCTCGAAACCGACAAATCAAAGGACACGAGAGAGACGCACGCTGAGACACACGCGGACGCTGAAAACCTGCAGGACACACACATCGACGAGAAGATAAGAATACTGAACGCGCAATACGATTTGTACGAAGAAGAGAACGTCGGCGAAAAGCCCGTGACCAGCATCGAATTAGTTCTCCGCGAAGATATCCTGAACGAAACCATCGGTCTCTTCGACGACTGTTCAAGCTTGCTGGACTCGAGCAACCTCGCCGAGAAGATCCTGCGCATATTTTGGCATCCGATAATGGGTCTCCACGCGAAACACGAAATCACCGCGCAGAAAAGCGACGAGTATTCGCGCCACATCGACGGAATTCGCAGACACATGGGCGCGGCGGCGAGCAGCGAGGAAGTCTGTCACTGTTTGCACATATTAATGTTCGACAGGATGATATTTGGGTCGGGAGAAGTCGCGGAAAGTAACCCGGAAGAAGACAAACTGACGGGCCTCTTAAGTATTAAACACTCGCCGATAGAGCGGAGCAAGTCGGTCCCGAGTTTCACGTCGAGATTCGACGAGCGTATACAGTTCTACAGCGACGGTAGCATAGACTATGGCAAAGTCTTGCCGTTCGTCGTCGATTGCGCCCCATTGTTCCAGATCATAGACCCTCGGGAGGTGTTGGTACCCGGATACTTGGCGGAGAACGTCTTCAGCTTCAGATACAAGAAGAACGGAGGACTGAACGAGTTCAACGACGTGGAGCTGCTGCCGAGATCCATTTTTGTGCAACGCGTGCAACAGTGTCTGAGCACGTGTCACAGCTACAACACAGTCTACTTTGAGCCAACTGACTCCGTGTTGCTGGTTTTCGGCGACCAGTGGAGGCCCAACGGGGTGCACGAGGAACTCGGGGTGTCCAGCATTCGGACACCGGTGCGACTCCGTGACTTCTGCGAGTACGTCGTGCCCGAGGAACAGGAATGGATAGACTGGGAAGAAGAGATGTACAAAGTTCTGACTAACGAGTCGCTGAAAAGATTGATGAAGAAGGCATCGGAGCTCAACGATGGACGGCTACTATTTACCGACGACGACTTCATCCTGCCTTGGTCCCTTAAAGCCAGGGACTTCACCGCCCAAAAAACAGGTTCGTTGCTGTTTTTTTTTTTTATAACGATTGTTTGTGTTTTCTGTTGAATTGTCAATCAGGATGGTGTGCATTACAAGTAAATGTCAAGATTTTATTAATTAGTGTAAGTGTGTCAATTACTGTGCGTCCGAAGTTTTCAACAAATTAAATAGTTTCCTAAACCTATATCGCATTTATATGAAGCATTTAAATTATATGTCAATGTCTTTTACATAAGAACGAATTTTTTCACGACTGATATATATGTCAACGTACAAATATTTGCAAAATAATTATCAGGTGTATAAATTATGTGTAATAAATTATACTAAACGATTTAGTACGGAATATTTCACATTCCTACATTTCTTTTTGTAGGATTATTTACCTGGAACTGATCACAGTAATTAAATATATATCTATATATATATATATATTATAATTAATATATATATATATATTATATTAATTAATATATATATATATATATATTATAATTAATATATGATAATATATAATTATTATATATATATGCATAAAGAACATAAAATATTAAACGAAATGGACAAAAGAGTTCTCGAGCGAGTTACTGTGCACTTAAAAAGATGAAAAGTTAATTACTGTGTCAGTTATCGAACCTCTTTTTGTTACTGTGTGTCAATTTTTGCACGCTGATTTAATTACTGTGATCAGTTCTAAGTAAATAATCCTATAAAAAAAATGTAGAAATGTGAAATATTCCGTACTAAATTGTTCCGTATAATTTATTACACATAATTTATACACCTGATAATTATTTTGCAAATATTTGTACGTTGATACGAACGAAAAGTGGAGTGAATCTATTGTTTCATGGTTAATTAAGACGGCGATTGTCTGAAGGGAATAATTAGAGGAGATAAAACCAAACTGCACTCTGCTCTAGAAGAGAGACTCTCTAAGCGGAAATCAATATCTGCTCGACGACAGAGAATAAGGAGAGCATAAATACAGTAACGTTAACCAGTTTTAGACAACAATTCCTTCTTGGAATAATTCTGTTTCATCTATATTATTAACATTGCTGCTTTCTTTCGTTGAAAGTTCATCTATTTTCTCTAGTTAAAAGTGCTTCGATTCTTTCTGACCGCAATTCAATTCAACATACTCACTGCCATACCAACGACCTAAAAAATGGTATAACATTGAATTAATTATTTTTTCAACATTCTTACGCTTAACGAATCCTAATAAAATTGGGAGGAATAATATATTAGCGTAACAATTAATTTTCAATTTCAAACAAATAATTTCGTCACCGATATACGAGTGACACGGTAGTCAGAGCGTTAATATATTTATATAAAGCATAGAATCCTGAATAACTATTTTAAGAATAGTTAATATGATTTATTAACATTAGTAAATATAATCTATTGCAACGATTACGTATTTTTAACCTTTTAGGCACGACGCGCCACTATAGTGGCTCTCGCGGATGTCATTTCTCTGGACGACACGCCACTATAGTGGCTTGCTCTAGTAGCTCACTCGCTCATCGTTTTAACCAAATAATCGTCTTCGTACGCATTGTTTCACACTTCTTTTGTCTTCACATCGATTTACAACAGTCTACAGGGTGTCCCAAAAATGTCTCGCAATCCGGAAATGGCGGGTTCCTCGGATCATTTGAAGCAACTTCTTCCTTTACAAAAATTTTCTCCGACGCACCGTTAACGAGTTATTAACGAAAAACAGTGACCAATAAGAATCGAGTACGGCTGACGCGAGGCGGCCCAGCCAACCAGCGCGCGAAGTCCAGTTCCGCTCATTGGTTCGATCGCCTCGCGCCAGCCGAGCTCGCCTCTCATTGGTCACTGTTTTTCGTTAATAACTCGTTAACGGTGCCTCGGAGAAAATTTTTGTAAAGGAAAAAGTTGCTTCAAATGGCCCGAGGAACCCGCCACTTTCGGATTGCGAGACATTTTTGGGACACCCTGAATATACAGTATCAGACTCTGTACAGTACATACCAGACTCTGCCGTCCAGAAAAATAGCCTCGCACAGAATTCAGCCGTACCTAAAAGGTCAAGGAACGCGTCAGGACTGAAGACTGTTCTAAAATTATATAACTTCGAAACATTTCTGGCGCAGACGTGGATTTATTTTCCATGGTCGAGGAAGCCTCGGACGACGCGAAGAAGGAGAAGCAAAGAGACACGAAATCGTACATAGAGGACACTGTGAGTAGAATCTCGAGGAGGAGTCGCTCCCGTTATACCGACCTGCAAGAAGATAGTTACGAATTCATTGGCTATGATCTCGGAAGATTGCGTGTACACGTAAAAAATCGTAAAACCGTGTTCCTCTCGGCCGATGGTGCGCGGGTTAACGTGGAAATGGATGATTGGATTTATAAGAATAAGGATTTACGTATCACGGTTACTATTAGAGACTATAGCTTGCATTTATTCCGCCGGATAAACAACCCGGAGCTCTCGGACGTGTTTCATCTGACCAGTCCTCTGGGAATCGTTCTGGCTTTCGAAAAATTGCCGATCGCGAGCGGTGAGATTGTTTCGCATTTTCCATGATTCAAGTGCCTAATCTCTCAGTTAATCGTTTTTGCGACATCTCTGCAACGTCGACTAGTTTTCAAAATTCATTTTTGATCGGAATACAGATGCTGGTTACTGTGGGGTGACCAATTGCTGTGCCTCAATTTT